GACTGCATATAGAAAATGGATATACCAATCCTTGTCTAGACATAGTCTCTGTCTCTCTCTCTCATTATTGGAATTATCCATAGCACATGTTGCCATCAGAGTACTTGTGAGAGAACATGTCATAGAACAAGCTATATTTAGTGTTCTAATCATCTTGGTAGTTTCATTTACAGAATTCTTACTTGATAAATTACTATGGAATAACAAGCTATGTTTATAGACATAAAAATTAGAAGAAAATAATGAGCCATGTAGGCAAATTCTCAAGAGATTACAGGACTGGCCTTTGGGAAACAGTACTATCACTGGGGAATGTCTCACAGTAACCCTGGGAGCTTGCCACAGTGTACTGGGCTGTCTGTTATGTGTTGACATGGTCAGGATCCCGGCCAAGGAGGTGGTAAACCAACCTCTAACATAACCAGTCACTACTACAAGGAAAAAGAGCTGTGAGCTCAGTTCCCACCCCCAAGGAATCCATGCACTCTTCTGGTTCTCTGTGCACTCACATTCACACATACCAAAAGCAGAGGTAAAAAAAATAATATTTTAAAAAGTCTAGGAGCAGGAGAGATGGATCAGGGGTTACAAGCAGTTGCTATCTTGCAAAGGACCTGAGTTTTGTTCCCAGAATCCCTACGGCGTGACTCACAACTTCCTGTAACTTCAACTTCAAGGGATCTTATGCCCTCCTCTGGTCTTTTAGGTACTGGAATCATTTTCACCTACCCACACACAGGCACACACACATATACTTTATTAAAAACAAAAAATCTTCAAAATAACTCAAAAAGGAAAAAAAAACAAAAGTGAGAGAACTAGAAAGTGTTCATGAACAAGATTAATGATCCCTATCTTCCTATACTATTATAAATAGAATCGGTTTCATGAGTTCCCTTTCAGGTTGTTTATAGTTAGTGTAGAGAAATGCAACTGACATTCGGATGTTGAATTTGTATTCTGCACTTTGCTTAATTCATTAACTTGTCATTTCTAACATGTGTGTGTGTGTTCCATAAAGATTATGTAAGAATTTTGTACTCTCTGTGAACATAGACGATTTCTCTTGCTCCTGTCCAGTGTGGATGTTTGTTCTTTCTTTCCTGAGGAAGAGTAGGTGAACGAGCTGTAAGAGAAGGCACCTGCATCTCACTTCTGCCTCTGCAGGCGTAACCTTCAGTCTCCTATAAGGAGCATGACACTTACTCCAGGGTTTTCATAAATGACTTTACTATGTGGAGGCAGGCTCCTTCTACTGCTAACTGTTGAGTGTTTTATCATAAAGGGTGTGGAACCTTGCCAAATAATTTTCTGCATCAATTGAAATTATGTTTCCCCTTCATCCTGTTAATTTTGTACACTGCCCTGATGATTGTCATGTGTGGATACATCTTTGCATTCTGGGATAAATCCTACTTGGGTATAATGAACAATTCTGGCAAATGTTCCCAATAAGCACTGATGAGACAAACCTCAGCAAGCTCACAGTAAGCCGCACTGCAAGGCTGAAGATGCACACCGCCATGCCATCTACCCTCGCTATCTCACTTTTTAGCTATCTTCTTTGTAACATGGAAACTATAACTAAAACCATCAATAGTGGGATCTGGAGAAATTGCTCAGAGGTTAAGAACACTTGCTGCTTTTCCAGAAAAGCAGTCCCAGGTGGCAGTTCACAACTGTCCTTACCTCTTGTTCCAGGGCTCCCAGGACCCTCTTCTGGCCTCTGTGAGCACCCAGACTATATGCCTTGCATACATGCAGACAAAACATTCATAAACATAGTTACAGTAAATAGTTTTCTAAAAATATGAGGCCTTAACACTGAAATTTGAAATTACATCAGCCTGTCTTTGAAAATACACAAGTTTCACTCCTTCAAGGGTTCTACCCCAAGTCTTTCAATTCTTGAGGGTATAAAATTATTTTTATTTTCATCTACAGTGTAAACTAATTATTCTTTACATTGATTACTTTCTTATGCACATAAAATGTAGATAAAAATCATTAATACTTGTCTCTAAAACATTTTTAAAAAATCTCAAATCATCTAGGATATAAAAAGTAGAGTTACACAATATTGTTACAATACTAGCTTTTATATGTTTTCTCGTGTGTTTATCTTTATTGAGATTTTTATTATTCCTTATCTTGGCTTCAAGGCACTGTCTGGGTTCTTCCAGTTCACCCTGCAGGTTCCTTGAGTGTTTCAACGCAGGCAGATTTCATGGAAATGAGCTCTCTCAGCTTCTATATCTGGGAATATTTTAATTTCTATCAATTTTGAAGGACAGTTTTGTCCCCATGGCTTTTTTATTGACAGTTTTCCTTTCTGTAATTTGAATATACATACCATATTGCTTTGGGCCAGGAGCATTCTGACAGTCAGCAGCGGACACCTGGACTGAGAATGTGCATACGGAAGGTGTCCCTTTTCCCTGTTAGTTCAGCTTCTCCTCACCTTTGTCAAGTTTGCCTCCTTCCAACCACTATGTCTTCATCCTGCCTAAGTTCCCTGGATATTTACAGTATGTCTTCTACCACATTTACATAGTTTTAGGCCATTATTTTATCAGATGCTCTTTGCTCCAATCTCTCTTGTCCTTCTGACACGCCTGCTGACAGAATGGTGTCATACTGTCTCTCAGACCCTCTTCCCCTTTCCTTCATCATTTTTGTTTTTCTGAAGAGGTAATTGCTGCATCTTTCCCCCTTCCCTCCCTCCCTCCCCCTCCTTGTTCCCCCCCTTCTCCCCTTTCCTTCTTCCCCCTTCCCTTTCCCCTCCATAATCCACTAAATAAATTCTGTACTCAAACTCTCTGCATGGCCTGCCTGTCTGTCTCTCTCACTGGCAGTTGTCTCCCACCTGCCAGGGGAACCCGCCGAGGCCTCGAGTGGCCCGCCACTGCCCCCACCTCTTTATAAATGACAGCACTTCTCAGGTCATGCATGCTGTCAGTCTGCACAGTCATTTTCTAACTCTCGTACACGCGGTTGTTCTCTAGGATCTTAGCATTCTCACCTTTAAAGTATATGGCATAAACACACATGTACACACACAGGTCCCCAAAAAGAGAAAGCAAAAAAGTGGGGTTGTCAAGGTGAGGAACGAAGTGTCTTAATCTCTCACCACACTGGAAGCCACTTCAGCTGAGGAGAAAAAAGCGTGCAAAATGGAAGGAAAGGGGGCAACCTCAAGAGCCATCATCGTCATTCTATGCAGCCTTGTGATCATAGGCAACACTGAAGAGGAAACATCCCCAGGCTTGGGGACAGGGGCCTTTTTGCCAGCTCACCTTGAGAGCTAAGTTTCTCTAGGAACTGCATAACAGCTGCCTGATACAGGGATGGGTGATGGTCTGGTAGCTAATACTTCACTAAATTCGCAGGCTGACTAAAATTAACTCTATACAGCCCAAGCTTTCCCTGGAAGTCACAAACCTTTACTACACTCCAGAGCTCAGATTAGTTACACTGGACAGATCTGCCATTGTGGTTATGGACTAGACAAAACCAGATTAATGTTTCCTAGTCCATCATCTCAGAATCTTTTCCCTGAACTCTTTGTTTTGTTGTTTGTTTGTTGTTTTTGTTTTTTCAAGACAGGGTTTCTCTGTAGCTTTGGAGCCTGTCCTGGATCTAGCTCTTGTAGACCAGGCTAACCTGGAACTCACAGAGATCCACCTGCCTCTGCCTCCCAAGTATGGGGATTAAAGGCTTGTGCCACCTCCGCGTGGCTCTCACTGAACTCTTAAGAGAAGCAAGTGTTCTTTAACATGGGAGGAGTGGATTTTAGGGGTCTAATGAAGACTATATGAACACACTAATATAAATTACAAGTCTACAGTCTAAACTCGGAACAGTGGCATTTCCCAGTATTCTGGGGATGATATTTTCTCAGGGACTTATGTTTTATGCTTGTCCTGGAGCACCTGTATCTTCAGATACTAACTCTACATTGCCTTGAACTCTTTTCAAAGCACACCTCAATGTCTCCAGAAGGGTAATAATTATTGGTAAGGAAACCTTCAACTTGTGTGTAGAGGCTTCACAGCAACTGAGTATTTCTGTGAGTTCAGTAATTAAATTAAGTCAGCAGATCCATAAACAAACATGACTGAACTGAAAGGGAGAATTATTTTTCATTATATAAAACAAAAAAAAACATTTCTTTTTCTCACAAATGCATGGAACACTGTCTTTCTAGACAAATTCATTTCTACCTCATGTTATAGAGGTATTATAAATGTATAGTCCATAGTTAATGGAGATTCTAAAGTATTTGACTATCTGTTGAACCAAACTATAAAATAAAATTTCATCAGCTATAGGCAGAACAATCTACTGCTAGAATCCTTTGCCCGGTGTTAAAAAATAAAGTTCAAATGCCTTGTAAAATTTACCTCCCTCTTCCCCCTGCTTTAGAATGAATTCTAAGAAAGTCTGTTGTCTATCATCCAGTATTTTCAGATAAAAGGCTACAGAGTCCGGTGTAAGCCCAGAAAACTGAGCTGGCTGGCACTCACTACAGCTACTCCTTGGGAACAGGTCCAGCTCATCTCTCATCTGTAGCCTGAGAATCCAACCTATAAATTAATTTTAATGTGCAAATTAAAGTCTAAAAAGAGTGCAAAGGCACAAAAGAGTTAGTGTAACAAAATGCTCTGAAATTTGAAAAAGTTGTTGTCCTCTGTAATTACTTTTCTGTGACTGATGCAGAAGCTTGGTCTCAAGAGAATTTGAAATGACAACCTTAAACCCACTTTAAAGTGCACTCTTCAGTTGACTGTTACTACATTGCCACTGGAAAAGTTTAAAACTCTCACTGATATTTTATACCCACAATTTCTTTGAAAAAATCATGCTCCAATGTAGAAGCATACTATGCATTATTTTGTTTACATAAATCCAAATGTAAATATGTTTTATTATCTAAGATAAAAATTGACAGTAAGTAAAGGAAACTGCAGAAAGCATAGTTGTTATGTTATCGCACCCACCTTTAGCGAGAGACTAAAGTGCCCCACAAACGTTGCACTTATCCATGCCGTTGAGTGGGGGTCACCCAGAAATTCTATGTGATACTTGTCAACATTTCCATCCTGGTCATAGGCCACATATTTCCCTCTGAAAGGATCAGGACAAAGTATTCCTGGCCAACTTTGGAAAAAAAGTTAAAATAAGTTTCATTTTTTTTTAAAAAAAAATGTAAGTCACTGACACATCTCTCATAATCAAATATTAAACTTATTTCTTCAAATTTTAACAACTAACATAAATGTATTCCTACTTACACCTTTCAAAAATAATAAACAAGTGATAAATTGTATCTTTGTAGCAATAAAATATTTTTATGCTGTCACAGACAAGTTGAAAAAGAATTCTAAAAGAAAGGACATCCAGAATCCACAGGAAGCATTTGAACGCCGCTGAGAGGCAGAAAGGGTCAATGATAAGTCAGACTTTGTTGACTCCCGTGGGAGCCCTTACCAGCTGGGAGGAGGAGATGGGGTTGGGATGGGGGAAGTAAACGGGGAGGAGGGGGAGGGAGAACTGTGGTTGTAATATAAAATAAAAAAACAAAACAAAAAAGTAAATATGAGCTATATGAAAGAAATAAAATTTTTAAATAATAAATGACAGAGAGCTATAAAGCAATAATAGCCTAAAGATAAATGATAGGTGATAGATTAAAGATAGATGATAGAAACATAGCTATAGGCAAATAGATAACAGATAGATTAACAAGATAAATGATAGATGATAGATTATAGATAGATGATAGAAACATAGCTATAGGCAAATAGATAACAGATAGATTAACAGGTGACAGGCAGAGAAACAGCTCATAGTTCAAACAGTGATGCCACTGTAAAGTACGGAAAAGACAACTTCAACTCCACCATTCTACTCTACTCCTCCCCTCTAGCCACTCAACTGACAAGTCACTTATTTGCTAAAAAATATTCAGAGCTCTAAGCAAAATTTTACTTTAAAAAAATCTTTTAAGGTATGTTCAGGAGCTGGAAAGATATGTCTCAGTGGTTAAGGGTACTGACTGCTCTTCTATAAGATCCAGGTTCAAATCCCAGCAAAGACATTGTAGCTCACAACTACAACTAGCCGGGCGGTGGTGGGGCACGCCTTTAATCCCAGCACTCGGGAGGCAGAGGCAGGTGGATCTCTGTGAGTTTGAGACCAGCCTGGTCTACAAGAGCTAGTTCCAGGACAGGCTCCAAAACCACAGAGAAACCCTGTCTCGAAAATCCAAAAAAAAAAAAAAAAAAAAAATTTAGCACTGACTAAGAAAACTGGAATTTTCAAGTAATGCATCGGCTCAAAATGTAACAGGAAGTAGATGTTTGGCTCAGAAAGGCTACTTTTGCCTACAGATAAAGCATGCTAATTATTGCTATGTGTCCTATTTATCCTGTGTATTAAATCAACATTTTCTTATACATTTCATATGTTACCTTATATAAAATGACTATCTTAGAAAACACATCTGAAATTAAAATGATCAATTTGTATTCAAGTAGCAAAATGTAAATTGTTAATTTGAAATGCTGTTAGGATCCAATCCATATTTTATCCATAGCAAAATTTTATACACACGCACATTTAATTTGTTTCCCACACTGGCCTCAAATGATCCCCCTGGCTCATCCTCTGGAGCGCTAGGACTACAGGTGTACCAGCATGCCTGTTTCTAATTAAGTTTTAAATATTTTACCAACATTCCAACATCTGGCCTGCCACTGTGGAATTAAAGCAGGAAGGAAAGGCAGAAAAGCAAGTCAGGATCCTGTGATATAGAGCCCTGGCAGAGATCTGACAGAAGTTTACAGCTTAAGATCTGGATTATGTCCCTCTCACATGGTAACACTGGCCACTGCGCGCCTGCCAAGCTCAGTGCTGCCAGCAGCTCTGAAAGTGGGAGAGTTAACAGCATTCAAGTGAGAAAACCTGTGCCCTCACTCTGTCGTCTACCAGGTGGCAGGCCTTCTAGAGGCATCTAGTTCTTGCTGTGGTTCCTAATGAGTTATAAAGTTCAAATATATGTATGATTTATACTTTTTGTTTGAGAAATTAAAAATATGTCATCATAAGACTGATATGTGTCCTGCCAAATTTAGATGCTGAAAACCTAATTTCCAGTATCTCAGAAAGTGACTGTACGCAGAGAAAGGATCTTTAATGATGTGACTAAGAAAGCCGGGCATGGGGCTGTAGGTACAGACTGCCAGCACTGCGGAGGTGGAGGCAGGAAGACTGTGTGTGGTCCAAGGCCAGCTGAACCACACGGGAGCCTGTCTCAAATTAACAAGAAGTAACTTGGTTAAAATTGAGCTCATTAGGACAGGCTCTGTGTCCGAGACTGCCTGCCCCATGGGAAGAGATCAGGACACAGACACGCAGAGGGAAGAACATGTGAGCACATGGCAAGAAAGTGGCCATTCTTAAGGAGAGAGCCTTCAAAGAAATTATCCATGATAACCTTGATCTCAGGACTTGGAGGCTGTAGAAAAGCAAATCTGCATTATGTATGCCAGCTAATGTGTGCTGTTTTGTTATGGCAACCAGAGGAAGCTAATATGATTATGAATATGTAGAATAACTGGTGCAGCTGAAAAGAATGATTTAGAAATATCTCCCCGTGTTTAGCAAGAGGCTCTGTGTGTGCCTTTACAGGTTCATTAGTATGCGAATGTGGGAGACAATTAACTATGGGACCAACAAGTACTACTTTCCTGAGAACCTTTTGCTTTTATTTAAAAAGAAAGAAAGAAGAAAGAAAGAAAGAAAGAAAGAGATTCAATAAACATTTCAAGATTCTGCATCAGTTTCTCTTTAACTTTCTTGAGTCAAGTTATCTGAGCAATAGAAACTCTAGATGCTGGCAAGATGGTGGTTCTGACCTTAAGAGCTGCCTATGAAGCCCCCATCAGTCTGTGCTCTAAGTTTCTCTGGGGGCGGCAGCTGTCTTTGTACTTGAGGATCTGGCATACTGCCTCATTAAGAGCAGATTTTTGACGGTTTCTTGTGGGTTAATTCTACCTCTACATTTTACTATTGTAATTTGTCTTGTTATTATCATTCTATACATTTGTGCCATTGAATAAACAATGCAAGTAGATTTCAGTTTCTTAATTTGAAGTTTAAATTTGTGTTCAACTTAGCTCATGAAAAGGAACATAAATGACGCACAGTCAAATGCATTGTTCTCCGAAGAAGGGGAGATGCAGCTGTTTTTCAAGCATGTCGATGACAGTAATCACAAATTAAAGATAATTTAGGGACTAGATTTAAACATATTTCATGTAAAATTTTAAGTTCTTTGCCTCAGTTACTAATTCCTAGTGAAATTTTCTGTTCTTCAAATATATTAATTGATAAAAGCAAATTCACTTCTTGAAATACAGTTACTAAACCTCAAACTTCCGATGTGGGAATAGCTTTCAAATACACTTTCACTCTGCTTTCAAACATTTGCTTAGAGATGAAAAGTAACGGAGAACCTCAAATCCCTTTACGATAATTTCAGTAAATTTCATATTACATGTCCCTTAAAATACTGGGTCTTATATGACCAATTGATGTTTATGTTTATTATAATGTGGGAGGTAATAACAATGTTTACAATATTGTCATTTTGATCCCCAGAAAAGCCTTCATAACGAAAGGACAGAGATGTCACAGATTTGTTAGGGAGTAGATGTATGAGTTTGTTAGGGCTGTTGTAAGAGAATATCACAGACTTGAAGAAGCAAGACACATTTACTCTCTACAGCTTCTGTAGGTCAGCAATCAAGACTGAAGCAGGAGTAGTTAGCTTTACTCTCTCCCAGGCTGGCAGATGCCACCTTTCTACTGTGTTTTCAGTCCTTCTGTCTTGCATGTGCATGCCCCAATCTCTGCCTTACAAAAATACCAGCAAAATAGAACTAAAGCATTCCCTAATAGGTCTCATTTGTAATTAATCACTTCTTCAAAGGTCCTACATCCAAATATGGTCACATTCTGAGGTCTTAGGAGTTATGGCAGCATTCAAAATATGAATGTGTGGGGTTCACGATTTGTCACAAAATAGTGAGAAAGCAAGAACCTAAGTCTACATATCGACTACTAGGTCTATTGTACATATGTACATATCAAAACAGGCCTGTCACAGCCCCTCCTTATATGGTCAATTCCCTATGGTCTTCATAGAGACCAAGATAATACGTCAATATACTTGAGTTTTGTAGTGTAAATGTTCAGAACACTAGTCAAAGGTTCCAGAAGGGTAGTGTTGGTGGTGATACAGACTCAATCCTGCACGGTTTCTTCAGAAATACAGGGCGAGCAAGCACAGCCGCACTACACTTGCCCTACAACTGCCTTGATGAAGCTGAGTGATGCGCCACTGCACATGCGCATAACAGATCAGTGAGACAGTCCTATGGGACCTGCAGCACTAGTGTTTGTGAGAGGAAAGAAGGGTGAAAGGGCAAATCCCAGGGATCATCTGACAAATCTGAGAGAAGAGAACTGGAGAGCCCAGCAGGCCGAACCGACAGCAACAGGCTAAACTGCAACGAGGCAACAGCAATTCTGAATGTGCTGCAACACTGAGGAATCCTGGGAACATTAACATCTAACAGAGATCATTGCCAAGGAAAAAAGATAACTCTGATTTAAAAAACTAACAAACAAACTGCTGGGGAAAAAAAATAAAGCCAAGAGGACAGGATCACCAGGAGCAAAGGAACTTGTTTGGTTGCTAGATTAGTCTTCCCCTATGGGACTCCAGGGAGCTCAGAACTGGGCTAACAGAGAGAAGGGACATTGATAGTTCCCAAAGAGGTGCCAGAACCACTAGAAAGCACACCCAGAACAGAAGGAGCCAGTCCACAGCTTCCCCTCTGCTCTCCAGGGCCAAGGAGAAAAAAATCCACTGCTTCTCTTGTCACCCCTGGAGTCCAGTTACCACTAGAGAAGACAGCCATTGTCTGGAAGAGTAGGCAGTTACTGAAAACAAGGAACAGTTACAAGTTAGGGACCCTAGGGATACCCTGCCACAGGTCTGAGTGGGAGATGACCACAGACGTACCCTAGGAGACTGAAGAGGTTGGACCCAAACAGATGAGAAGTCTGGGGAGAAAGGAGCTGTGACTGTGGAGAGCAGTGTGTGGTGGCCTCTCCCTCTGTGGTGAAGCACAAACACCTCTGCTGGTTGGCCCTGCTTGGCCTTGAGGCCTGAGGCTTGCTGCTAGGTGGAAAGAGCTCTGAGCCCAGGTCAGGCAGGGCACACAGCAAATCACTTACTTCCCTAGCCTCTTCCATCCCCACAGGATCCCAGAAGAAGCTAGTACTAAGTTAGTATGGTAAAAATAGTATGAGACAAAAATATCAAAAGATGAAAGCTTGCCACAGAGGAATGGTTTTGAGGAAATAAGATTGCACTAAGATTTCAAGTTGCCTTAACAGAATTAAAGAAAACAGAGTAGATACAATGTACATGTGTGAACTAGAAAACCATTTAAAATGAGTAGTTAAAGATAGAAAAGTATTAAAATTAATGAAAACCTTTTTAAAACTTCAAAAATTAATGTCAAATTGAAAGGAATAAAATAACAACTGGCATCTTCAGAAAAAACTATGTAGAGGAGAAATATTTAAATTTTTAAAGGTGTAAAAAGATGAGAACAGTTCAAGAAAATGATATACCAAAGATAGAAAAGATTGCCTCAATGATAATATAGAGTCCTGAGGCAAAATCCAGTCATAAGAGTGAACAGTATAACTGCCTTTAAGTCAAGAAAGTTTAAATAGATTCTAAGTCTTATACACTGAAAATAGTATATATTTGGAAATTCGACCCATAATACAAAGCTCTAAAATATAAAGAAATACATGTAAATTTAATGAAAAATATTTTAAGCATGTAAGGAATAATGAAGATCCTCAAATGTTTGTTCTTTAGAAACAAAAAATAACCCATTTCAATAAAGAATTTGCAACTATTTCAAGATGAATAAAATAAAATGTTTATTACAGTTCCTGGAAAAAAATTATAGCTTTGTTTAAATTAGGATGAAAAAATAAGAGATGAGTTGAATTACCTAATTCTCACTTAAGAAAGCAGAGTGAACACAACTCAGATGACAAAGACAGCATCAGAGACTGGCAATTAAGGAACTACTGTGATGGTTCAGGAGATAAAGGCACTTGCCAACAAGCCTGATGATGTGAGTTCCAGCCCCAGCACCCACATGGAGGAGGAAGAACTGACTGTGAGATTATTCCTGTCAAAACACGGAGTGTAAGCCTAGAGTGAACCCTCATGTGCACCATGAACTCTGGAGATAACTAGGATATGTCTAAGTAGGGTCATTAATTTTAACAAATCACATGGTGTGGGGTGTCAGTGGAAGAGTGACTGAATTCTCAGTGGACAGAAGGCATGTGGAAACTACACTTACACCCAATTTTTGTGACCTCAAGGCTTCTGTAAATGTGGAAGTCTATTTTGTAAAAATATGAGTAATTCTGGGTGAAAAGTTAGAAATAGACAAATCCACTCCAAATGCAAAGCATAGGGCTAAGCATATAGCTCAGCAGTAATGCGAGCCTAGCAAGTGAAACGGTCTTGGTATTTCATCTACTCATCACACACACACACACACACACACACACACACACTCATGCACACACACACTTATACACACACACTCATGCACACACTCATGCACACACACACTCATGCATACACACACTCATACACACACACTCATACACACACTCATACACACACTCATACACACACACTCATACACACACACTCATACACACACTCATACACACACACTCATACACACACACTCATGCACACACACACTCATACACACACACACTCATGCACACACTCATACACACACACTTATACACACACACTCATGCACACACACTCATACACACACACTCATGCACACACTCATGCACACACACACTCATACATACACACTCATGCACACAGACCTACGAACACATATGAAAATAAGTAAAGGTAATAAAAATTAAAGAAATCAGTAATTAAGTGATGATAATTAATAAGTAATAAACAACAAGTAAATCCCTTACTTACGTTGGCCAATTCTGCAATTTCACCAAAACCAGGCTTCCCAGAGGAAGCTGTGAATAGACAATCTTATACCCGCTTTCAAGGAACCGAGACTCTGCTGGGAAATCCTCCTCGGAGACTGAGCAGCTGTTGTAGCTGGAGTCAGCGTTCATGAAGCAGTACCAGGGCTCGCTGCGCTCCACCCTGGCCGCAGCCTCAGGAGACAGCAGCCTCCACTTCAGGCAGCTTTCATTCTCACACTGAACCCACACTCTGTTTACAAACTCGCTGCTTTCCAGAGCCAGGTCCATTGAGCTGCTACTGACCACTCTGCTAGCTTATTTTTTGTTCTGTTTTGCTCTGTTTATTTTTTGTTTGTTTTTCCTCAGAAGTGAATTTAATCTGGAAAATAAAAAAATACAGATTCAAGAGTATGAGATATAATTTAAATCACGAGAAACAGTTCTTTCCTATTTTCTGCCCACTCCTGTGCACCTGGTACGGAAGGCATGCAGGTGGCGCATTATATTCTGCTGACCCACAGCAAAAACACAGCAGACATGTAAATTACCCTCAAAATAAGTGCTTTCTGAAATTAAAAACAGGACAAATCTACTAGAAGATTGGAGTCTAGCTCAGCAATGTCTATTACTGACATTCACTATGAACAAGTTATTGCTTTCCTTTTTGAGACAATCCTATGCTGTAGCCCAGGCTGGTCTCAAACTCTGTACCCTTTTGCCTAAGCTTCCTAGGTGCTAGGATGAGCATAACACACACAAAGTTACCAGCTGTCAGGTCTCAAGTGCTTTATGCACACAGCTTGTATCATACCCATTTTGCCAAGGAAAATGAAGCAAAAAAAAAAAAAAAAAAAAAGCATGTTTAAGCTCCAGGTACAGTACCTGTAGAGCTGAGGTTTAAACAGGCAACTGGGCTCTTAACTCTGTGGTCTTGTCCTTAGCTGCACTGCTCTAGAGAATACAGAGAGCATCGTGCATTGTCCTGTTCTGTTTCTAAAAATCAAGAAACCCAAATGCAGCAAATGTTTCGCCTCATGAGAACTGTAATGATTTACAAGTAAGATACACACCCTTGATGTGGGAGTCCCCTCTGTGTATTGTGATTACCATTAATGAGTAAAGAAACTGCCTTGGCCTATTGATAGGGCAGAACTTAGGTAGGTGGGGAAGATAGAACTGAATTCTGGGAGGAAGAAGGCAGAGTCAGGGAAATGCCATGGATCTGTGCCAGAGGTAGACGTGCTGAAACTTTGCTCAACGACCTTATGGTGATATACAGATTAATAGAAATGGGTTAAATTAAGATATAGGAGTTAGCCAATAAAAAGCTAGAGCTAAGGGGCCAAGCAATGATTTAAATAACATGGTTTCTGTGTGATTATTTCAGTTCTGGGTGGCCGGGACAAACAAGCAGACTGTTCCTACACACCCTCTCCTTAGAAAGTTCTACCCCTTATCTCACTAACAAGGCATCTTCTTGGACCTTTGTTATGAGGCATCTACATGTATGAATAGAGCAGTGTGTTAAAACTCCCCATTCAGCATCAGTAACAACACTGACATACATACTAATGACGAAACTAAGTATTGACAATGCATTTCCCAATAGTATATTTTGAATAAACAAAAGGTCATGTGGGAGCTGGCAAAATGGCTCAGTGGATAAAGGGACCTGCTGCCAAGACTGGTGTACTGAGTATGACACCCCTAACTCACACGGTGGAAGGAGAAAACTGACTCCCATACATTTTCCTCCAATTTCCACATGCATGCCCTAATATATGCACGTGCACACATACACACAAAGTAAATAAGTAAGTGTAAAAACATTTTGGTGCACAGCAGCGATGAATCAGTACAACAGTACTATCCAAACACTAGCATCATTTAAGCAGACCTTCTAGTTCACAAGTTAATCACATCTGTATCTTTTGTCTACCCATCATGCTCCTCACTTGCACTCCACAAACTGCATTTGAAATAGCCAATATGCACATTAGTCATTGATTACTGTGTTCTAAGTTTTTAACACTTTTTTATTAACTGCATTTTCATCTTTATTTCCTATGCATTTTTCAAACTTTCCATTGTATATAGCATAATGTTTGCTACATAATATTATTTTAATAGAAGTAGATATTTTATGTTGAGCATGTTCCCCTCATAACCTTCAAGCATGGCCTTCCTTTTTCACCCATCCTCCCTCCTGTTAGTCCCATTTATTTCCTGAGAGTCCAGTCTATATTTATGTCATACATACATTTATAAATTTCCACATCTACATAAAACCTATGAACCATGATTTTCAAAAACAATTTTTTCTGAGACTGCCTTAATTCACCTGATATTATTTTCCAGTTACATACATTTTCCTAAAATAATATAACTTCATACTTCTTTATGTATGAAAAGAATTCCGGGGCGGTGGTGGCGCACACCTTTAATCCCAGCACTTGGGGGGCAGAGGCAGGCGGATCTTTGTGAGTTCAAGGCCAGCCTGGTCTACAGAGCTAGTTCCAGGACAGGCTCCAAAACCACAGAGAAACCCTGTCTTGAAAAAAAAAAACAAAAAACATACATTTTGGGCTGGAGAGATGGCTCAGCAGTTAAGAGCATTGCCCGCTCTTCCAAAGGTCCTGAGTTCAATTCCCAGGAACCACATGGTGGCTCACAACCATCTGTAATGAGGTCTGGTGCCCTCTTCTGGCCTTCAGGCATACACACAGAAAGAATGTTGTATACATAATAAATAAATATTTTTTTTTTAAAAAGAGATTTAAAAAAAAAATCCATTGTACAAATGCACCAGATTTTTCTTCTCTAGTCCCCATTGTCTCTTTATTGCTGGAACTGTAACCACTACTACCACAAATATTGCTGTGCAAGAATCTCTGTGATATGTTGTCTTGGAGTTCTTTGGGGAAATATCCAGGAGTGGTATAACTAGGTCACAGGGAAAATGACTTTTTTTTAGAACCTCTATACCAATTTCCATAGAGTCTGCACTAGTTTACACACACAGTGTAAGGTTCCCACACACAGTGGAAGGTTCACTTTGATCCACATCCTCACCAGAATTTTTTCTTACTTACTGATATTCTTACTGGTATGAGATCAAATCTCAGTGCAATTTGAATTTGAATTTCTATGATAAAGAGGTTGGGCTTTTTACATGTGTTTATTGAACAACTTTATGTTTCATTATTTGAGCACTACCTGCTCTTTTAGCCATTTACTGACTTGTTTGAATCCTTTTCCAAACTAAAAAATTGCTTTTTTTTGTTATTTGTACATTCTAGATATTAATCATATCATATGTATAGTTAGCACAGAATTTCTCCCATTTTGGAGGGTGTTGGCAAACTCTGTTAATTGCTTCTATATAGTTCTGCAGAAGCTCTTTGATTACGTGAGATCCCATTTGTCCACTACTGACATTATATCCTGAGTGAGTGGTCCCCTATTCAGGAAGTTACTGCCACTGCCTATGTCTTTAATAATCCCTTTGGTTTCTTCTTCCAATGGTTTCAGAGTTTCAGGTCCTACATTGAGATATTACATCCATTTGAAATCAATTTTTTTGTACAAGGTAACAAACATGGATCTAGCTTCCTCCTTCGACATGGGAATATTTACTTCTCCCACAGCCATTTGCAAAAGATGCTGTCTTTTGTCCAATGTATATTTTTTGGTATCATTTTGGCATCAAAAAACTCAAGTGATTGCAGGTATGTAGATCCGTGTCCAGATCATGTATTTTACTGATTGACTTATCTGTCTTGTGTCTACACTGGGATGCTTTTATTAAAATGGCTCTGTAATATAACTTGAAATTGGTTGTAGTGATATCTCCTGCACCAGTCTTTTCTGCTCAGGATTCCTTACAGTATCTGGGGTCCTTTGTGAATTAAGGTTTTATTTTCTATTGCTGTGAAGAATGGCACTGAGATTTGGATGGGGATAATGTGTGTCACTTATGGTAAGATAGCATTTTCGCAATATGAATTCTTCCAATCCCAGAGCATGTGGTCTTTTCAATCTAGTATCTACCTCAGTTACCTTCCTCAGTGTTCCAGGTTTTCACTGTAGAGGTTTTTCAATTCCTTGATTAGGTTTATTCACAGAAAATATTTTTTTCTTGAGGTAAAAATGAATGGAGTGATGCATATATTTCCCCAATTTCTTTCTCAGAACATTGGTTATTGCCATCCAAACTCTAAACTCCCATCTTCCCCCATCCATTTCACATTATTTCCTTTGATCCAGTAGCTATCACTGTCCTGCCCAGGCCTGTCCCATAGCTTGGCTGGTGACGAGTAATATGACAGATACATGTATGCAGGAATATCTATAGAAACTTGGCTGTATCCTTTTGGGTGCACATTCAAAATTGTACAATTGGATTAAATGACAGCTTTGTCCCCAGTTTGTGGAGGAACCGGCACACTGACTTGTATGCTCCATTAGTTTACAGTGCCACTACAAGGGCACAGTGTTCCTTTCCCCAGCTTCTTCACCAGCACATGCTGTCTGCTTTTCATGACAATAGTCACTCTGATCAAGTGAGATGAACTCTTAATGAACTTTTACTCTGTATCTGCCTGAGGCAATTTAAATTCTTGTTCTTCTTTCCTGAGCTGTTGGGAGTCTTATTCAGAAAGTCTTGTGCCTAGATACATGGGTCCCTCTGCTCTCCTTCAGTTTCAAAGTTCCAGGTCTTACATTTAAGTCATTGTTCAATTTTGAATTGATTTTTGTGCAGGTGAGACATGGCAGTCTATTTCTATCTTTTACCCACGGATTTCCAATTTTCCCAGCACCAGTACAGAGTCTGTTTCTTTTCCAACCTAGGTTTTCGGCCTCTTAATAGAAGATTAGATGGAGGTGGTTGCATAGGTTTGTTTCTGGTCCTGTTTTACTGAGCCATGAGCTTGGCTTAATTGTCAATCTCATACTTTTTCTATTATTATTTCACTGTATTAAAATTTGGTATCAGGCATTGTGATGCCTCAAAGGCAGGTTTAACATTTAGGGTCTTTTGCTTTTCTATATTAATTCTTTCCTACTACTGTGAAGAATGTCATTGGAGTTTTAAAGGCAGCTATAGTGAATCTGTAGAGCACTTTTAATAATATAGCCATTCTCTCAAGACTAACTGCTAATCCATGAACATGGGATGCCTTTTCCATCTTCTACTATTTTCTATTTATTTCTTCAGAAATTTACTGTTTACTTTTTATTTATTATGGTTGCAGCTAATAAGGTTGGTTCTTTTTCCAGAAAAACAAATATACAAAGGAAAGTTCTTGATTTTGTGTGAGAGTTTGTATCCTGCAACACTGATGAAAATGTATATTGGATCTACAAATTTTCTTGTCA